CAGTCAAGGTCCACCTACGTTAAGTGGGAAACAATGCACCAGCAGACAGATGGAAGCACTCTTTACAACAATTTCTCCACTTGGAAATCAAACCCATATCTTCAGCATACAATGGCAAAGAGTCTAACCATTATACCACAGACACCCAAGTCATTATCATGAATGTCTTTCTCACACTGGATCAGAGTATAGGCCACGAATAAACATTCTCCACTTTCCCTTATCTAAACATTATTCAACTTCTTTCCACTTCTCTATACACCATTCTCTGTTGACACTTCTCCAGGTACAACACTGCTTTCCATTGACCTCTTGCCCAGTGGATTTCAATCTAACACTTTCTCTTACGAAGTAGTGTCTTCCTGAGGGTACGTCCAATCCATTGCAACCGCCTTCTCCACACTTAATCTTCAACTGGGCTCAATTTTCCTCTCTGATGTAATGACTACATAACCTGACGCTGTGACGTGACACAAAAAAAAGCTTCTCAGGCCTCTATACCCACCTGTTCTCTCAGGATGTCTGCCTGTCCACAGCGCTCACAAACCAAGGGGAACTTTTCACACACTTCCAAATGAGGCTGTGCAGAAGCAGACAAAAGTTGAATGATTTTTCTTTGTTTTTTTTGTTTTTTAGTAAGGGGTTTACTGCACTTTGCAACAGAATCTGATCGTATAAGAGCCACAGATTAGAGGTGTTACAGGAGAGTAAAAAAAAAAAAAGAGGGAGAGATAAGGAGAAAAATGTTTTATAAAAAAAGAAGGGGTAAACCACACCAGAGCACCCAAAAAATTGAGCTCTTTTTAAAGTAGTTATAACAAAGAGAAGTAAATCAATGTGATAACGCGGTCACTTAATTCAGGGGATAAGAATGACTGACACGTAGGCAGAAATAGTGGAGAGGGGGGAAGAAAAAAAATTTTAAAAGGACCTATGAGAGACACCCTCAATCCATACGCCATCTAGCGAAACGGGAAAACGGGGAAAAGGCCCACCCCACAATGGACCTTCCCTGGCCCGGAAACCCCACCATGACCTAAGAAACAGTTTTTCTTAAAATCTTCCCTAAAAATCAGATTCTTCTTTAGCTAACACCCCCCCCCCCCCCCCCCCCCCACCCACCCAATAAAAAGTCAAAAGTGTTGTTTGGGCATGAATTCACTGCAACCTACTTGCCACCCCAGGAAGGGGAGACCCTGGAAATGCATAGTAGGTCAAGTCAGTTCGGAATGGAGAGCTGAGATAGACTCACTCGATTTGATCATGAGTGACTTTGTACAATTCGTCAAAGGCATACACAGAGAGGCTAAAATAGAAATAGCAAGAGTCACTCCTCTACTTCCTCTGATTTCTCCCTGTCAGATATCAATACAGTCAAGCCTGCTCAAACAGCCACCTGTCCAAGATCATCTGTACAAATGACCACTTCCCACTTCTTCTCATTCAGTTGTTTAATTTGTTTGCTATCACAATGACACTGTTCAAGACATCCACTTGTCTAAGACAAACACTTTTCTTCTCAATAAAGAGTGGCTGTGTAGGACAATTTTGACTGTTCAGTCAAAGTTACAGAAATTTGATGAAAACTATAATATGACAACGAAAATGATGATGATGATGATGATGATGATGATGATGATGATGATGATGATGATGATGATGATGGTGATGGTGGTGGTTACATTGGCGACAATGATAGTGGTGATGCTGACTATGATGATTATTGAAATGGTGGTGACCATGACGATTGTGATGATTTAAAAAATGATGATCATACCGATAATGATGATAATAATTACAATGACAATAATGATGATGAAAACGATGATGATGATAATGATGATGATGGCAAGGACATCCACAACAAAATTCAGCCCACACCTGTAATCTAGCAAACATGAGCTCCATGCCGCAGTGCTCACACAGCACCAGCCTCTGTGGGCACTCGTTGGCGCGGTGCTCGGCCATGCGGCCATCTGTCACCGGCTGCGCACACTGGGCACACGCAATTTGTCGGAATGGGCATGACTCCTCGTGGGCCTGTAAGGGGGGCGGGGGGGGAAAAGATGAGGGAGGGAGGGAGAAAAAGGGGCGTGTGGATTTAGGTAGGGGAAGAGAGATTGTGGGTGACGAAAGGAAAGATTCAGGGTTGGGGGGGGGGGGGGGGGAAGGAAGAGGAGGAAGGAGGTGAAATGAGGCAGTGTAACAAACATTTGAAATTTGGGAGGAGGCCAAAATGAAGTGAACCTGAAAAGGTGGGGGGGGGGGGGGGGGA